TGAACCCAGGGTCTCATGTTTGTAGGGAAAGTTACCACTGAGCTTTATTTCCAGCCTTCTTTTTACTTTTCGTTTGAGATGGTCTTACTAGGTAGTCCAGGCAGGCCTTGAACTTGGGATCCTCTTGCCCCAATCTCCAGAGTAGCTGGAATAGCAGGTCTTTGCCATTAGGCTCAATTTCTTCTTGTTCTCCCCTTCTTCCCTCTCTCTAACAATATATTCCATTTTTAATAATTGTATATACACACTTCTAAGTGTTAATATGTTAGATCAGGCTTAGATTTGTGTTGGCCACCCTAATATAGAGATCTGAAAAGATCAGCCTTTCATTTTATAATTGAGGATTCGGGCCCAGACATTACAAACTGTCAGGATGGGAAGTGGACTGTCTATTGGCTGTGGTGCTGTCCTTGCTCTGAGATGGGGATGGCCCTGATCCCTGTGAGGCTGCGGCAGGTTTGCATTGTGCCCCTGGCCTGAAGAATCCCGGTGGCTTTGAGATTTCAGGGCACACTTTTCATTGTTTCCAGTAACATCTGTGCACTGACATGACAGGATGAGGTACCTGCTCTAGAAGGCCACAATATGACAGAAACCCAGGTCATATGTTAGACAGCTGGACCCTCCAGTCTGCTTGCGCTTGTTAAATTTTGGTGAAAAAAGCAAATGGACTTTTCTCTTCATCAGTTAATAGGAAAACTAACTACAAGAGAGTACCTTTGTAGGGAGAGAGACCTGGTTAGCCCTTGTCTGTAGATGGAATTGGCAGTGACTCATGCCAGGAAAGGGACATGATGAAGTCAGTTGTTTCTGTTACACACTGCCGTCTTGGAACTTGAAGCCAGAGGGACTGACTCAATTCCAGCCTTTTATTCTCGGAGAACAGAGTGGCCGTGGAGATGCCTCCTTGTGCTGACCTCAGGGGAGGGAGAGGCCTGCGGTACTTGGCCCCTCCTGAGAACCACCACCTTTCTTAGCACAAGTAATACCACCTGTCAGCTCCTGGGGCTTTTAACTTGTGTCCCCAAGTTAGGCTTGAACAAAGCTGAAAGCCACAAGGACAGGTTGTGTAGGAAACCGACACCGAATCAGGGAATAAATGCTGATGGTTCTAGACGCTAGGAAAAGGTCAGTGTGCGAAGAATCACCTCCCAGGGGCTGTGCCTATGAGGCCTGGGGTGGCCCTTGTGAGTCTGTCACCTCACTGAGGCCACTCTGGAACCACGCTTGAACCTCAGCCTGGACAACCTGCCTTCTGAGGCTTGAGGCCCACTCCACCCTCAGCACACAGGCCTCAGCATCTAATGCCAGGAAGAAGCTTTCCTGACGGGCTTCCTCCCAGCTCACAGTGTATGGGAACTGAGGGGTACTAAATGATACCCACTCCCCAGAACATTACAGAAGTCTCTCCCAAGTCTACCCAGAGCTGACCCTGCATCTTCTGAGGACTGACCCTATCCAGACAGGAGTGGGTATTGGAATAGCTCAAATCCCTCTCCCCCGGCATGTCTTGTCCCTTTGCTTCGCAGCTACTTGCCTCCATGGTAATTTGGTGTAGAAGCCATACATGATTTTACTGCAGACTTATTTACATATCCAATACCATAGGAGCTCCATACATGTTATTTAGAGTGTGTTCAGCCTGGACATGTAATGAATGCTCTCTCTTCAAAGAACCGTTTTTAGGTTAGTTTTATTTCCTAGTAATTTCATCTGAATTTTATTTTTCATGGTGCTGGGGATTGAAGAGTTGAACTTGGGACCTTGAATGTGCTTAGTAAGTACTCTACCACTGGGCTATATGACCAATGTTTCAAAAAGATTTTTGAGATGGTCTTAGTGTGTTGCTTAGGCTGTTCTTGAACTTGAGACCTCAGCCTCCTAAGAGCTAGGAGTACAGTTGTGTAATACCCCTGACTGTGAAAATTATGAATTAGCAGCTAGACCACAGTTATTAATCCCCACCTGTGAGCTATACAGTGTTTCTTTTTTTAATTAATTAATTTTGAGAAAGGGTTTCACTATGTGGCTCTGGCTGTCTTGGAACTCACTCTGTAGATAGGCTGACCTTGAATTCATAGAGATCCACCTGCCCCTGCCTCTGGAGTGCTGGGATAAAGGCATGCTCCACTATGCCTCACTTTAGTGTTTCATTTTGAGACAGGGTTTTATGTAGCCCAGGCTGGTTTTAAACTTATCTGCCTTGACCTGCTGATCCTCCTGCCTTCACCTCTTGGTGCTAGGATTGCAGTGTCTGCTGCCATGCCGCCATACTAGGTTCGCTGTGGATTCAAGGTTGCCCTTGAGGGAGCTTCTTTCTAATGATGGCTGTCCTTGGCCTGATTCTTATCCCCCTTCCCAGTCACAGCAAACGTGCCCAAACCCTTCCAGTGTCACTGGGGCTCTCAGGACCTTGGCGGGGTGAAATCTGCCGTAAACTGCACCCTGCAGACTTGCCGTGAGTAACCACAAGGCCTTCCCGAATAGGCCAGGGCTGGGTTACCATAACCAACCTTGAGCATGAAATAGTTTCCAGTATCTATCCCAGAAAGCCGCCTGTGTGTGCTGAATTCCTTGTCCTCTGCTTGGCTGTCTGTCATGTCACTTGCTTGGGAACTCAGCTCAGCACAAGCCACCCACAGCGGCTTTGTGCACCAGGTGATATCATCATGACCCTTGCCTCTTAGATGAGGCTTTGTTTCCTCTACAGTGAAAGCACTGCTGTGGCCAGTCATGGACATTTCTGTTTAAGAATGAACAGATTCAGAAAGATAGAATTAAGAAAAAGGAGAGAGTGTTAAGGCCGAAGGTTGAGGAGGTACAAGTGGGCCTGATTGATTTACCTTTTGTCGTTTAGTTGGTCTAGGGGTAGACAGGACATGATGGGATGGGAGCCCTGGGACTGTCTGCCTCAGTTCAGAGGTTGTGACTGGAGCAGTTAAACATCATAGTAACACAGGTGTCAGTTTCCAAAAACGTGCCAGCCTGCTGGTGCCCGCTTCCCACGGCAGCGCTCTGCTGGGATCTGCCAGTGCTGGAGAGGAGACCCAATGAGTCCTGGGTTTTTTGTTTCTGTTTGTTTTGTTTTTCAAAACAGGGTTTCTCCTTGGCAGTCCTGGAACTCACTTTGTTCACTAGACTGACCTCAAACTCACAGAGATCCACCTGCCTCTGCCCCTTGAGTGCTGGGATTAAAGGTGTGCATCACCACTCCTGGCTTGATAACGTGTTTTTTTTTTTCTTTTTCCTTTCTTTTTTTCTCTTTCTTTCTTTCTTTTTCTTTTTCTTTTTCTTTTCTTTTTTTTTTTTTGGTTTTTCGAGACAGGGTTTCTCAGTAGCAATGGAATCAATCCTGGAACTCGCTCTGTAGACCAGGATGGCCTCGAACTTACAGAGATCCGCCTGCCTCTGCCTCCTGAGTGCTGGGACTAAAGGTGTGTGCCACCACTGCCCAGCGATAACATGCTTTTGAGTGTGGTTGGTTCATTCTCCTTTCCCCAGTGACCTCATTCATAAGAGCAGCCACTATATTCTGTTAGAGGGAAATGAACTTCCGGGTTTGGAGTTTAGGTTCGCTGTTTGACCTTTGACCCTCAATTTAGCTCTCCTGAAGCTGGGGAGATGGCATTCCTGGATTGAGTCTTGATTTTGCTGTAGAGGATGGTGCCACCACCTTCTTCTGGCCTTCTTGGGCACCTATGTGCACATACACATAGACACACACACATGCATGCACACTCACACACAAAAAAAAATCTGAAAAAAAATCCAAATACTTTCTAAGTTATTTGTTAGGGTTGTGGAAAGGGAATAGCATGAGAATAGAATTGAGATACTTTGGTGAAGAGTTAACCTCTCTCTAGAAGAGACGCAAGAGTACGTGTGTGGGAGGGGTGACATTGAAGGCCCAGCCTGGAGAAACTGGGACCTGTGAGGGGAGAGCACCTAGCCAAAGATGGGGTGGGTGAAGATGGTTAGGGGAGAGTGCCCCGCTACGTGACACATAGATGTTCTAGTGAGTGAGGCTAGGAAGTCCTCGGGAGAGAGGTGGCCACACAATGGAGAAGACTGTCCCCCAACATTTAGACAGAAGTAGACACCCACCTCCCTTTCCTCTTCAGAGCAGAATTTGGCCTTGCTCTGTCACAAAATGGAATGTCTGTTGGTTGTTTTTAAACGCCTTTTAGAAAATTTTCTTAAATATATTTCTGACAGTAAAGGTTGTACTGTACAGGGGAGCAGATGGCTTTGAGGTGTCCATTTCCGTCTCAGCAAAAAGGGCTAAGGCATAAATTACTCTGCTGGGCACCCGGCATGCCCCTTGTCTTCAGGGCTTGTTCATGGAGCTGGCAGGTGAGAGCTGTCTGCCTCTGAGGTTTAAGGTTCTGAGGGGCCTTGCATGGGCTTTGTTCAGTGCATGCCAAAGAGGGCCCTCCACAGTGCCCCTCCAGGAGCCCTTCTCCCACACATTCGTGGGTGGGAGGTGTATGCACGTGTGCCTGTGTGTGCGTGTGCATGCGTGTGTGTGCGTCTGTGTGTGTGTATGTGTAGGGGGCTGATGCAAGGAACAGTGGCTCCCCACCTCACTGCATCTGCGCCAGGACAAGCTACAGCTGTAAGACAAGTGGATATGGAGAGCCATGGACTGATATCCTCCACAGGCTCCCCGGGAGTTGCCTAGCAACCAAATGAGCTGGCAGGAGCTTCAGGGAGGCAGGAGGGCAGGAGTGTGTGGGTGGTAGTCACTGCTGGAGAGCTCTGCTGCCGCCTTCTGATGTTTGGAAGGTACCCAGCATCCTGGCTCCCACCAGCCCATCTGGCACAGTCCTCAAATGTCTGCTTTCCCCACTGGCCTGCAGTTGTCACATCAAGCCACACAACTCTGGTTCACTCGTGGAGAACTTTGGGGTCTGGAGAAGGGATGGCAGTGGCTTGGGAACCACACGGTGAGAGGGAGGTTATGCTGCCAGGCTATGGAGTCCTGAAACTAGAGGTCCAGATGGAGCGTGCACAGTGGGCTTGTATTTGCTGCTTTTCCCCTTGGGTTTCTTCAGAGGTGGGCATGATAGCAGAGCCCTAGCACCTTAGTGTTTGGGGCAGCAGATTCCCTCTACAGAGCCCAAGTCTTGGAGCGGTCCCTTTAAGTCCTTAGGGATCAGTACTGGAGGCATCTCAACCGCTTGGAGAGACGTTGCGAACATGGGCTTGAGGTCCATCCCACAGGGATCAGGCGCCATCTCTCCAGAGATGAGCTCAGCACAAAGTCCACAGGCATCCTCTTTGCCCCAGCTCTGCGGGGCCACAGGCCTGGGCCTGCAGCTCCCGGACCGGTGCCTGGCCCCCATCGACGCGAAGCCTCCGACAGATCCTCACTCCAGCTCTTTGGGGACAGGGCCCAGTCCAGGCTCCCTCTTGCGCTTGGCACTTTTAAAGAAACCGAGCTGTGGGGAGGCAAAGGTGGAAAGTCTCAGGGGTGGGCAGACTAGGTGATGTTTGTATCATCTTCTGCTGGTCCTCCACTAACCCTTCGTATTTGCCCCCTAAGAGGGCACCTCTAAATACCCCAGCTCATTCTTAGTACCCCTACTCCCAAACTCAGTGTCTGAACTGGAGCCAGGTGGATGGAGCCCTGGGCAGGAGACTAGAAGTCACGCTGTGTCACGCAGCCTTAGTTAACGTCCCTCTCTGGTCTTCCCTCGCTATCTGTAGCAGAAGGAGCTTGAACCCCAAGTTCTTAACCTGAGCTTCTGAGATGGAGGAAATGTGTAGTTTCATTTCCTATTCCATTTATTTGTTTTCTGCTAAGAGGAACCCCACAGACCTGGAACCATAGTTGAAGCGGCCTCTGTGGGCCCTGACCAGCCTTCCCTGCTGTGGAAGGGGCTTGGCGTCCTAGGAACAGGCAAGCAGTTGGAGGAGGCGGGGCAGCGCCCGCTTCCAGGGATAGGAGAATATAATAATAAGCACAGGGTCTAGAACTCTGAGGTCAGACAGGGATACTGTCCCCATCCCCATCTGCAGGAGCCTCACCTTCCACAGTGCCAGGACTAGCAGGGCAAGCAGCAAGAGGCCCCCCAGAGTGCTGCCCACGATGATCCAGATGGGGACCTGCCAGTCTTCTTGCTTGGAAATCTCAAACGTGACCTGCAAGGGGAGGGAGCCAGGGCAATACCGTCACAACTGCAGGGCTTGGGCAGCCCAGGGGCAGAAGGTGGCACACCAGCAGCAGGGAGCTGCGTCTGTTCTTTTGGGAGATGTAGGGAGGGACAGGTGGTGCAGCCGGCCAAGATCTCGGAACAGCCAGCTCTACCCAGTGTACGTCTAACTGGGGGAACCGTCTCAGTGAGCCATGCTCCATGAGCCGTCTGCTCCCGCTGGTTCTTTTACATACTCTCCATTAGAACTCCTGGCTGCTCTTCATTTCCCAGTGATGGTCTGTCACATGTGTGGTTTCTAAGCCCAGGGTCACTTGGGGAAGTCAGGGTTGTGTACAGGCAGCCTGGGAAGCTGTTCCAATTCTCCCTCCCTCCCTCCCTCCCTCCCTCCCTCTCTCCCTTTCCTTCTTTCCTCCCTCCCTCCCTCTCTCCCTTTCCTTCTTTCCTTCCTTCCTTCCTTCCTTCCTTCCTTCCTTCCTTCCTTCCTTCCTCTCTCCCTCCTCCCACCCTCCCTCTTCTTTCCCTCCCTCCCTCTCCCTCCCTCCCTCTTTCTCTCCCTCAAGATAACAACAGGTGTCATCCTCAGCATCTCTGTCTCTCCACCAGAACAGTTTTGGAGACAGGTCTCTCACTGGCCAGCAAACCCCATGGAGCCTCCTTCCCTGACCTCCCAGCTGTGGATTTACATTTGCGCGCTGCCCTGAGTGCTGTTCTACATGGGAACTGAACTCTGGTCTCTGGGCTTGTGTAGCAAACACGTTACAAACCGAGGCATCTCCCTAGCCCCAGACCTTGAATTCTTGTTCCTTTTGTCTCTACCTCCCAGGTATTGGCGGTACAGGTGTGTGCCATCACCACTCCTGGGTTGTGTGATTCTGAGGACTGAAGTCAAGGATTTGTGTACACTAGGCAAGTATTTCACTAACTGAGCTACACAGCAAGCTCTCAGTTGTTTCTAAACTTAGATGAAGGAAAAAAAAAAAGAATCTGGGCCTGGTGGTGGGGCATGCCTTTACCCCAGCACTTGGGAGGCTTAGGCAGGTAGATCTCTGTGAGTTCAGTGCCAGTATGGTGCTTACATATTGAGTTCCAGGACATCCAGGACAACATAGAACCTGTCTCAAAAAAGAAAAAAGCAAAGAAAAAAAGAGCAGGGACTGGCAACTAACATCCACCTTGGGCAGGTTGCAGCCACTTGTAACTCTAGATCCAGGATGTCTGATGCTTCTTTCTAGCTTCTGTAAGCCCTTCTACACATAAGTGCAAACATGCACACACACATAACACGTGTGTGAGGGGCGCCCCCCCGCCCCCGCCCGGACAGGGTTTCTCTGTGTAGCTTGACTTTCCTGAAACTTTCTCTGTAGACCAGGTTGGCTTCAAACTTGCAGAGATCTGCCTACTTCTGCCTCTGGAGTTCTGGGATTAAAGGGGGTACACCACCATTGCCTGACACACACACACACACACACACACACACACACATATTTTTAAACACTAAAATAAATGTTTAAAAAATAAACATAGTTTATCCTGGATTATTTCCATCTGTCATCAGACCAAAAATTATAAAGAAATAATTACTTTTTTTTTTCAAATAAAGAAGGACCTTCAAGGGTACCATTGGTGCCATGGGTACCACTATGACCTGGTGAACTTGCCCAGCTAGATGGCCTTCACTATGCTTGTGACCTTGCTCTCACTTCTGTTTTCCTCTGCACTCTGGACATATCTGGCTGCCTACCTGACTGCAACTCCCTCGCCTCCAGATCTGTTTCCATCACGTCTTTGTTAGTGGTCAGTGGTAGCACTTTTCCTACCAGCTTGTCATTGACAGTCCCTTTTTGTACCCAATGGGCCATCAGCAAACCTTCTCACTCTAGCCCTGACACACCCAGAATGTGGCCACCCCTGCTGTCTCCTGGCTCTGGTCCTCTCCTCTTCTCCTGGAGTCTGCAGCAGCCTCTCCACCTCAGTCTCACCCCTGACACCTGACACTCAGCTGGCAGTATAGTATGAGGGACTTGCACTTGGGTGACAGAGTGGCCCCTACTCAGCACCTCACAGCTTCTCATCTCACCTAGGGGGAGGTGGTCCTTATCCCATCTCGATGACCTCATCTGCTGCCCCCTACTCTGTCCCAGCCCTCTACCCATGGCCTTCTCATGCCTGTCCATGCTGCTATGGCACTGTTTCCTCTACTCTTGAGTGACTGACCCCCAGATATTGACACACACTTCCTTCCATCTCCCCATGGTGCCGGACTGGTGTCTCTGTAGGGAGGAGCTTTCCCTAGCCTCCTATGTAAACCAGTCTGGATTTCACTCTGGCATGTGGCATTTTTTTCCCCTGGGAGGAAGCCAGACAACAAGCGACAGCACTGCCAAGGGTGGCCTGGGTGGGACCTCCTCATCTTTGCCCACTGCCCTGTCCTCAGAGCCCGGAGTGAGGCAGAAACTTAGCCGCAGCGGCTAACTGTGCTAAGAGTGCTTGCCTCCCTGTGAAACGCAAGGCAGGTCACTGCTCACCCCCAGTCTCACACAGTCACAGCTTTCGTATTTGACATGGGAAGGGATGGGCCTTAGATGTGTGTGTGTGTGGGGGGGGTCTGCATGCATGTGCACACGGATTGACCAATAAGTGCTTTTGTTTCATCCCTGAAGGATGCATGGGCCTTTACGTGGCTTCCCTCATTTTGTGGACCTAGCCACACTGGGCACCACATGACCTGCCATGGGGTTGCTGGTTTTCTATGGGTGAGACACTCAGTACAGTAGGATTTTTTTGGTGGGGGTGGAGCAAACATGCTGGGCTAGGAAGAAAGTTCACCTAAAGGAAGTCCACTAGCCAGGTAGTAGTGGCACATGTCTTTGATTCCAGAAGGAAGAGGCAGGCAGACTTCTGAGTTCAAGGCCAGACTGGTCTACAGATTGAGTTCCAGGACAGCCAGAGCTACACAGAGAAATTCTGTTTCATAAACAAAAACAAAACAACAAAACAAAACAGGAAAGAACAAAGAAGAGATACCTACTCGTGTCGGGGAGAGGCATAGGTAATGGGGGGCTTGGACAATTGACATGACTTTGAAGATTAACTTCACAGGACCATCTCTAGAAAGCTCTCCCTGGGAGCTCTGTCCCTTTCCTGCCCTCAGTGATGTGGTGTTCCCGGGACTGTTGCCATGATTGGTTATTACTGTGCTCAACTTCCTAAGCCATATCTTCATCTGCTACTCAGTCTGTGAGGGAAGAGGGAGGAATGGGTCCCCGTCAGATGCAGAGGGATGGGTCCCCGTCAGATGCAGAGGGATGGGTCCCCGTCAGATGCAGAGGGATGGGTCCCCATCAGATGCAGAGAGATAGGTTCCCATCAGATGCATAATGAATGAACAAATGGATCCAAAAGAGGCTGCTCGTGTCTGCTCTCTCAGAGAGGCAGAGGTGTCAAGGGATTCGGGGTTTAGGCTGGAGCCCTAGGGTGAGTCAGACTACCAGGGTGTGGCATTAACCTGACTCTGAAGGCCTCAGTTTCCACAGCTTCTCCCGTTCCTTTGGAGGGTCTCAAGCACAGCCTTCAGGCTTTGGCCCCTACTGGACTGTGTCTGGAAGGCTGCACCTTATTGAAACTGAGCCTGATGGTGTCCCTTTGCCAAGTCTCTTTCCCTCCCTTCCTTACCCCTTTAACCCTTGTAAGCTAGAGTGGTGAGGGGACGCTAGGCTACAGTTTAGAATAGCATTTCTGAGACATGGCCAGTTGGGGGCAGCAGAGGCCCATGCCCAGTTGCTCTGTTTCTACGAGACTGATTTTTCTCTAAGACTCAACTTGCTTAGAACAGTGGCTGTCTCCCAGAGTCTCACCTCTTTTTCTCTACCTTGAAATCAAGGTCATCCAGGCTTATGTGGTTTTTGTTTGGTTATAAAGGAGCACTGAAGCCTCTCAATCTCCACCCCCACTCCCACCACACACCCATTGCTGCTTGAACTCCATTAGATCTGAGGCTCCAGGGTAGGTGGGATGCGAGAGGCTCCACCATGCCCCAGACAGCCTCACTGTGGGGCAGCCCATGAGAGAGCCACCCTTAGGTACATGTGTGTGGGCGTCTGGTCTCAGTGTTCCGTTTTATCTTCCCTATAGCACAAAGCACAGAGCCTGGTGCACCAAGGTACTGTGTCTGCCCTCTGCCAGTCTGGCGTGTGTGGGCGTGCGTGCACATGTGTGTGTGTGTGTGTGTGTGTGTGTGTGTGTGTGTGTGTGTGTGCTTTTTGAGGCAGTCTCTCTCTGGCCTGGAGCTAAGCTGACTGGTGAGCAAGCTCAAGAACCCGTCTTTCCATCCCTTTAATGCTGGGATTACACACAGCCACCCCTGGCTTCTTTCTGCAGGTTTTGAATGTGAAACTCAGGTTCTCAGGCTTGTATAGCAAGTACTTTACTGGCTGAGCCATCTCCCCAGCCCCCACCTTGGGTCCCCCCTCCCCTCTCAGAGTGAAGGACTACCCGGGGACTCACCTGGCGGCTGGGGTCCTCCTCTCGGAAGATGAAGGGGCTGTGGAACTGCCTCTGCAAGGCTGCGTTGACTGTGATCTTCAGAGATCTGTACTTGAGCTGTACAAACAGGGCCTCCTCAGAGACAGCTCTGGGAGCCTTTGTTCCTGACCCTCTCAGCTGGGAGATTTCCCACAACCCCTTCTTCCTTTCCTTCCGGCCCTGCTGAAGGGGTCTAACTTACTGCTTTCAGAGACCTCAGCCACAGGTTCCCTATCAGGTAGAATCTGATTTCCTGGTTGGGGTCCAGCCTCACGTTGCAGGTGATGGAGACCACGTCAGAGTTGCTGTGGTTCTGGAAGAGAGTGGTTGGGGGTGAGCAGGGCGCTGTGGGGACAGGGCCTGCGGCCTGGGATGTGAGCTGGAGAATGGATCATCAGACCCAAGACTGCACCAACTGGGAGAGGGAAGCAGATGGCAGGGATGAGGGTAGAGATGTGTGTGGGAACAGAAGGGACACCTGGGAACAAACCAAGGCATTGTCTTTGAAGTTCCTTTTGAAGTTGTGCATAATGACCCGTGTCCCAGGAATAGAACCTCTGCTCAACATTAAGGAGTTGGCATTATCACCATATAAACAGCTTAAAAGAGAAATGATACTGTAGCAGATAACCACAATAGATGGAGAAAAGTATTGCAGGGAATTGAACTTCCTGATGCAAACCTCCAGAGAGTGTCTTAATCATCAATCATCAATCAATCAATCTATCTGTCCATATGTACACATATGCACGCACCCAGAGCATGTATCATATACAGGATCAAGACTCTCCCGACCACCCTGCCATCACTCCCATTTCCACTGCTCTTGTGGTTGGAGCCAGAGTGATACAACAAGAAAAGCCATTTGTAAGGATCACATGAAAAAGGTAACAGATGGAAAATGCAAAGATCTTCATCTTGGAGCAATTGGACTTTGTTAGGGTAAAGCTATTTCTGAGGTGGTGCTGGGCCCTCCCAACTCTGCCCGAGGTCAGATCATGGTAAAGTGCAGCAGGCTTCCAAAGGTTGCTCATAGGCAAAGGTATGCAGCCAGGATGCCACCAAATCTAATGACCCAAGTCTGAACCCTGGGACCCATATAGTGGAAAGGGAGAAGTGACTCTGCAGGTTGTCCTCTGACCTCTACATGGGTGCCATAGCACACATATCCTCACACACACACACACACACACACACACACACACACACACACACACACGTCTGTATTCTGTCAATTATATTTTAAATAAATGCCGATTGACCAGTGGCCAGGCAGGAAGTATAGGCGGGATGACCAGGTAGCAAGTAGAAGTGGAACAAGAATATGAGAATTCTGGGAAGGGGAAAGATTCTGCAGTCGTCACCCAGACACAGAGGAAGCCAGACACAGAGCAAGCAAGGTGTGACTGCCTCACCGAAAAAGGTACCAAGCCATGTGGCTAACACACACAAAAATTATGGGCTACTCTAAGTTATAAGAGTTAATAAGAAGCCTGATATACTAGGCCAGTCAGTTTATGATTAATGTAGGCCTCTGTGTGTTTATTTGGGACTAAATGGCTGTGGGAACTGGTGGGAGAGAAACCCTTGTCAACACTTGACTCCTAGTATGGAGACACTCACCCTCTGTGGGGCACTGCTCAAGTCTTCCTCAGTTGGGGCACTCTGGTATTCTGTACTGTTCCCCCAGATGTTACAGGATGTGTTGACCTGTGTGGAGAGCACACACATACATAAATCTGAACCTCACCCAGGCTCCCTTTTTTCTTCCTCCACCTGGACAGGCTAAGTGCCCCGGGATCACCCAGACGGTGGGGGAATTGCTTAGGAGTGTGTCTGTTTTCTTTTCTCTCTCTCCCAAGTTGGCCCCTAAGGAACACAGTTACCTGGTCAGTGAAGAAGTCCCTCAGCATCAGCAGGCGGTTCCCACCCCTGGTGGCGATGGGCACAGTGATCTTCATCATCACCCCGTGGATAGGAAAAAAACCCAGATTCTGCACCTGCAGCCAGAGGAGAGTCAGTGCATGCACAGTTGAGGTATGGGGACAGAGAACCTACAGGGACCAATCAGCCCTAAGGACAGGCCTCAGCAGGCCCTGGCTATTAGGACCATAGAAGCAAGACATACTGATAGGACAGGTTCTGGGTCCCTGGAGTATGCTCAGTGGGCCCTGAGCCTGGAGATCACGGACCTCTCCTACCACAGAGTCCTCTCGAGCAGGGGGTACTCCATGGACAAGAGTGGAGATAATGGGGTCACTCAATCAGGAGAGGATATCAAACTGAGTATGTTATCTCCCTGGCGGGAACACATTCAGGGGACTTCAAGCCGGGCTTTAGGGGTTGAGAGGCTGATAGATGGCTCCGGGCTGCCCCTGGATCAGCTGTGTGGCCTTGAGCAAGACAAGTTGTGTGGGTATTGGGGTGCAACCCAGTTTTCAGCCGTCAACCTACTCCAACCCTCGCACAACTTCAGAGGAGCTGACCCTCGTGCAGGGTGAGGGAACCCTGGGTCCTCTGTGGCAGAGGCTGCTCGGCTGCTCCCTGTCGTTCTCCTTCCTCCCTTAGTGACAGAAGCCAGATCAACAGTCACCCTTCCCGCTTCCCTCACAGCTAAACACCGTGCTATGGACACCGTGCTAACGGTAACTGCAGTTATGGGATGAAGCTTAATCTTCTGTTTTGGTTTTTCGAGACAGGGTTTCTCTGTGTAACCTTGGCTGTTCTGGAACTCACTCTGTAGACCAGGCTGGCCTTGAACTCACAGAAATTAAAGTCTACCGCCCAGCTTAAGGACATGCCTCTATTTCCTGAGTGCTGGGATTAAAGTCCACCGCCCAGCTTAAGGACGCTTTTTAACAGGAAGGGGCATGCTCCTCTCCTCTCCCCTGCTGCCTGGGCCTGAAGTGTGATGACAGATGAAGATGCAGCCATCGTGGGCTGAGGTGGAGCCGATCATCTCATGTCTAGGATGTTCTTAAATTCCTCAGTGACTGTAAAGTCATCAACTCTAAGCAGCAAGTTTTTTTGTTTTTTGTTTTTTTTTTCTTTTCTGGAGGAAAGTAAATCTTAGTGTGTTTAAACTGCTGTTCTGTATATTTAAAATCTTTTCAGTACACCCTAATAACTCCCCCAGGCCAACCTGGACATCTTTCAGATGAGGGTGAAGCCCAGAGAGGGGAAGTAACTGTTTCTACAGGCTGTACATTGAGCCGGAGGCAGAGCTGAGGTTGAGCCCCAGGACCTGCAAGGATTCTTCCCTTCCAACTGGGGTGTGGGGTTTTCAGTCCAGCCCCTTCACTCCAAGGTGCCCTTCAGCCTTACCTTGAAAACACAGTTGAAGGGAGGCCCAATGCCATCATATTTCTCCAGAGAGCTGTTGGCCTTGACCTCGTAGTGGCTCAGGCTGCTGCTCCTGCATAGACAAAGGGAAAACCATGTGTGGGCAGAGTCAGTGCTGACCAGATAAACAGGTAGTAGGAGAGAGGCAGGCATGGGCCCATTTCCTGGGACCCCGTGTCTTATGTGACCGCTAGGGGGCGCTGTGTTGAGACGAAGTCATAGGCTTGGTGGAAATGCGTGCTCAGGGCAGAACAGCTGTCTGTCTGCCATGGGGGGGGGCGCATGAGTCTGAGAGTCCCAGGTTGGGTATCCTGGCTTGGCATCGGTGTCCATGGCAGGGCTTCTTTGCAACCTTGCCTCTTGGGTGCCCTCCCACCCCATGTTTCTGTTATGCCCTCTTTTCTCCGTTGTTGGTGGCTGGGGACTTTCTAGTGGGCAAAGGGCTGCTTCCTCAGCAGACTCTGCCTCGTACCCTCTGAGAGGGGAGGAAGGTCAGGCATAGTGTGGCCTGGGGTCTGAGTTCCTCCTCAGTGACAGTGATGTTGGGAATTGTTGGTGCAGTGGTAATAAGAATAGATTGACCCCCTTCCTCTGCCCCTTCCTTCCTCCCTCCCTTTCTTTTCTTGTTGGAGACAGAGTCTCATGTAGCACAGGCTGGCTCAATATGGGATACCCTGAACTTCTGATCCTCCTGCCTCTACCTCTGGTATGCTGGGATTATGGTATGTCTGGTTTATATGGTGCTGTAGGTGGAATGGGGGATTATGGGTATATCTGACTTAAATGGTACCATAGTTGGAATGGTTGGAATTTATGCATACTTGGCCAGCCCTCTACTAGCTAAACTACAACCCCAGACTGACTCTGTGTCTCTTGTTTCCGCTGCTGTACTGTATACTCCAGACTAGCTAGCCCTCAGGTTTCTGAATGACTCTCTTGTCTCTGCCTCTAGGAACCGAGCTTGGGTTGATGCGGGGTTGCTAGGCTTATGCTTTACCTTTACCCAACGAGCCATTTCACTGGCCTCAACAGGCTGACTTTAAGGGAAGATTTCTTTTGTTTGGAGTTATGTGTACCTAGGTGTCTGTGTGTAGGTCTGTGAGTGCAGTGCCTACAGAATTTAGAAGAGGTGTCAGATACCCTGGGACCAGAGTGACCAGTGTGGTTGTGAGCCATGTGATGTGGGTGCTGGGACCCGAACCCAGGTCCTCTGGAAGCCATCCCTCTGGCCTGCCACACTGACTTGGAAGAGTTCTGTCTTTTACTTCTTCTTCGGCCTTGTGCATGGGGGACCTCCTCCTGCCCACCTCCATGCTTGTCCCTGCTAGCTCAGCACCCCCTTCCCTCTTCCAGTTGAATATCCAGCTCACCTGGTAAAGAGGACGTCTGCTTCGTATTTGAGGTGGAAGCGAAGGAGGGCCATGTTGTCATGGGTGGTACTCTCCTGCTCGTGACTGTCACTACGAGGGGAGGGGGTGGGATCAGAGAGGGCACTGGCACAAGAGTTCTAGAAGGTGGAAGGGAGGATGTACTGGCTTTTCAGGCTGCTGGGTTATGATCAGACCATCAAGGAAAGCTGAGGTGTTTCCTAGAGGGTGGGCCGGGGGGCAGGAATGGATGCCAGCCCTCTCTGCGGCCAGGCGGTCAGGGAGGACTTTGGGTAGTTCATGGCCACTCCCTGGCTGTGCCATCTTCTTGATGAACTGCCCCAGCTGCTATGCTGAAGATGAGGAGGGACTTGGGACTGGGAGAAGGACGAGCCTTGAGCAAAACCACCTAGTCTGCCCTGGGAAGAATAGTGGGGTTTACTGTGGAGGAGCTCACTGATCCCTGATCCCACAAGGTGCAGCTCCCTAAGATAATGGGTGACTATGCCAGGAGAAGCCAAAGGGACCCCTGGTGGTCCAAGGTACTTTCACCTAACAGTGAGTACTCAGACTTCAGGGCAGGTTCCCACAGAGGTTAAACCCTAAGATTTCAGCTTGTACATAAGCTAAGTTCTACTCTTCAGGCTAGGGGGTGGGGCTAGGAAAGGGGTCCTCAGAGTACACTGCTGTCTATGTCCCTTCTTGTCCAGTCCTGGTTGATAAGCGCCCATGCACATTGCTGTGCCAGTGTGCTCACTATGCACGAGAAGAGGACCTTTTGGCTCATGGAGGAGCCAGGAGGCACCAGCATACAAAGACACTCCACAAACTCAGTCCTGAGTCCGGTGAGGATTCTGTGGACATGTGGGGGTTTGTTTATGCATAGCTGGTAGCCAGCACAAACTGGTGAAGGGTGTCCCCAGCCCATCTGTGACGGGGTAAAGCTACTGATGTTTGGTTTGCTGGAGGCTTTCTTCTTAGCTGAGGATTTTGGCTGCGGACAGAAGCCAGCCTGTCCTCACTTCTTTCCTCCCTTCGTCTCACACAGAGGTGACTCTATGAGCAAGGAAACAGTTTCTCACTGGCCCAGAGAGGTTCACTGGTCAGCCTGAAGCAAGCTACCTTCAGGAAGCCAGAGGGACAGACAGACAGACCGACAAACCCACACAGAATAAAAGTTCTCTTAAAAATGGAGAAATACCCAAGGAGGGCATGATGGTTTCTACTGAAAGTCAACCAGCCAGCGTGGAGAGTTACCCTGGTCCTGGCTGCGAGGGGTTGTCTAGACTGGCTTAACTGAAGTAGGAAGAGCCGCCCTGCATGTGGGCAGTACCATCCCCTTGGCTGGGCTTTCAGACCGAATCAAAAGGAGAATTCAATCTAAGCACAGCATTCACCTTTCTCTGCTTCCCGGATGCAGAAGCGCTGTGCACTGGCTGCCTCAAGTATCAGCCAAGCATTCTGTTACAGCAATGAGAAAAGTAACTAAAACCGAGATAGGTAACCAGGACTGCAGGGGCACCAGATGAGCGATGGGACCAAGTGTCCAGCTCCCAGTTGTCCTGTTTACATGCTATGTTGTTAGAAGTCCACACAACCTCACTGGTTGTGAGGGACTGCTGTGTGAACTGATGGATGGACCCGAAGGGGTTCTAATGGCCATTGCGATTTGTGGCCGAGCTGTAGGATAGTAGGCGTGCAGCCCCCCACCCCTCCTCCCTGCACCTGCTCAGCTTGGGTCAGGGAACAGGTTTGACAGTGGGATCTGTGGGCATAGGAGAGCACAGGGTGAGGGCAGAGCTGTTGGGGGTGAGGGAGGGGTGGGCCTGACCTGCCAGCACCCAGCTGGATCTGAAGATGGTGCAGGAACACAGACTTGCTGAACTCGAAGTCCAGACGGAAAGCCACCTGTGGAGAAGCAGGCCTGAGTGGGGGCCCTGGAGGTGTGCTGGCTCATACCTACCTCTGACGTCCCTCAGAACCTCACAGAGAATGGCTGGAGGAGGGGTGGGGCTATAGAATAGTGAGCTGGGGCCACTATGGGTGCAAAGACAGCAGCTCCCCTGGGGGAGCTCCCCCTTTTTTGAGGGTCATGTAGCCCATGCTGGTCTCAAATTTGCTGTGTAGCAGATGGACTTTAACCCCTAGCCTCTGTCTCCACCTCATGAGTGCTGGGGTGACAGGCGTGCCCCAGGGCTTCATGCATGCTAGGCAAGCCCTCTACCAACTGAGCTACAGCCCCAGCAGGAAACTGTATTTAGAACCTCCCAGAAGCAAATAGGTCTCTGTTTGCTCCCTGCTCTCTAGGTCCCAGTTTCTGTCCCTCCCTGTTGGACCCCCAGACTCTACCTTGGCCTTGGCCCTGAAGAAGGGGTAGCTGACGTTGCAGACTTTCTTGTGTAGCCGCCTCTCCTCGTTGACACACTCAATGCTGTTGTCTGAGTCATCCTGGAAGGGGAAAGGCAGTGATCAGGGGGGCCCCAGTCCTGAGTCTGGAGCTCATTGCAAGCTTGCTACAGCAGCCCCTCAGCCCACTCCGGAGGTCACCCTGCCACTGGCCATGGGAACTGGACACCTGGAATGCCAATTTCTGGTTACCTGAACTACAGAGGGCTCCTGAGACTGAGGCCAGGTATAGTTGGGTCGGACTAAAGATATGAGGTGATACTGGGGTGGGTCTTAATGTCCATGCTGGTAGACAGGCATCCAGGTGTATGCTGATTCTCCCCTTGTGTCTGGGAACTGGCTAGTTGCAGGTGGGACTCTGAAGTCTAGACCTCACTCACACTGTGGACAGTGACTAGGCTGGAACTGACACTTGGTCCATTTAAAGGTTGAAAGCCACTCCCCAGGCTCTGACCTCCCTGCCTCCTCGGGCTCTGAGACCCTCTGAGTGATCATGTAGCTCGCTCTTTCTTTCTTTCTTTCTTTCTTTCTTTCTTTCTTTCTTTCTTTCTTCCTTCCTTCCTTCCTTCCTTCCTTCCTTCCTTCCTTCCTTCCTTCCTTCCTTCCTTTTCTAATGGAAGAGAGATCCTGGAGCCACACAATGATATTGCCTGGTCTCCAGTGACTTTGTGTGGACAGCACTGTTCCATATCTGGAGTCCTAGACCGGATAAAAATGGATAAAGCAAGCTGACGCCTAGCATTCATTTTCCTTGCATCCTTGTGCACACAGTAAGATCAGCTGCCCTGCCCTCCTGCCATGATGGACTGTATCCCCTGACCATGCTACCACTTCCTCCCAAGGATTCTGTGTAGAACACATATTTAATGTCAACATGAAGCAGGGGATTGTGAGAGAGAGGCACACAAGCAGAGGCCTGCAGAGTAAGCAGAGGACCCAGGTGTGAACGAACAGGGCATACTGGGAGGCAGTGGAGAAGAGTGGGGGCACGCATCAGAGTACCAGGGTAAGAGAAAAACCAGGTGGGGCCTTGAATAGGACAATAAGCAGGTGAGGCCTTGAATGTGACAGTAAGGTATTTGAGATCCCGCAGTCTCCCTGGTAACCATGGTCCCCAGCTCTGGCTGTATGCTGAGGGAGCTCTCAGAGCTGCCTACGTATAGACCCCCAGAGGAGGGACAGGACACAGCTCTGTCAGCACCACCGTTACGCCTGTGCCCGTGGCCGTGGTCAGCTGGGCGCGCAGCGGCGGCCGTACCTTCTGGATCAGGCTGGCGAACTGCAGGTTTTCTGACTGGGAGATGTTGAGGACGGTGCTGTAGGCATTCTCCCCTCTGTTCTCCAGCATGGCCTCCACGGCCACCCGGCGGCGCGTGCTCTCTATGATGAAGACAGTGGTGTCGAAGGACAGCGTGTAGGTGGAGCACTCCTGCGCAGTCTTCCTCAGCACCCGTTGGCAGTACTCCCTGTGGGAAGAGGCTGCGGCGATCAGGCAGGCGAGCTCGGGCATGAGGATTGACAGAGACACAGGAATGGGGACTCCTGGCCAGCCTCTGCTTGTGGGAACAGCGCTGAGAGAAGGTGGATGGTGGGCCTGCCAAGAGCTCATGCTTCCAGCCGGCCACCTGCCCCAAAGCCCCCTGTTCCCCAGTCACGGGCCGAACCTGCCTCTGAGCTCAGCTCTCTCATTTGACCTCACTAGTCACATATTCTGCTTCCCTTTTGACGTTGGCTACCAGGAAGCTCAGCATTAAATCTTGATTACTTTACCTAGAAGGATAGAATATTCTTTTATCCTGTCCGGATGTGCTATTTCTACTGGCTGTCTGTATCCTGGCATTTACATTTTATCTCACTGCATAAAAGTCAAACAAAATTATTGTAAGGTTTGTTCTGTCAGTTAAAAATGATCTCATGGACTGGGTGGTGGTTGCCCATACCTCATATCCCAGCACAGATAGACGTGCAGGAGAAATGCACATGCACATGCTAACACCCCTGAACTCCCCCCCCCCACACACACACTCTTTGAGAGGGTCTCTTGTAGCCCAGAATGACCTGAACTCACTAAGTAGCCAAGAGTGCCTTGGATTTCTGACCACTCCCCTGAGGGCTGTCACCATGCATGGGCCACCACATGTACTTTATACTATGCTTGGGCTTGAACCTAGGGCTTTGTGCATGCTAGGCAAGCACTCTATTCCCTGAGCTACATCCCTAGTTCCCTGGTCTCACGTTCTATCTATTTAGCAGCGTGGGCACAAATAGAGGTATTCCATCCTCAAAAAAGCTGGAGAGGTTAGAGCAGGTTAAAGCAGCTGCTTGGGACAATCCAGCCCCAAGGAGCTCTGGGCCACCAGCAGAGAGGGGTCAAAGGTACGTGAAGCAAGGAGTCTCTCACATGGCAGTGGGCAGATCACTCCGAGCATCCAAGACAAGGTCAGGGACACAGTGTTCATCCTCATTACAGCCGTTCCAAAAGGGCACCTGCAGAGAGAACCAGTGTGACTGACCGGAGAGGGGACCATGGCCTCCAACCCTGGAATCTAGAGCCCCCAGCCTTTGTCTCTACACAGCAGATGGGGCTCTGCCTGCCTCATAATCCCCCAGCACACCCCCTTGCCGATTCCTTCACCCCTGCGCTAAGAGAAAGCGCTCAGCCAGGCAGGCAGCACAGGCTCCCTCACCCAGCAGCACAGTTCCAGGCAACAGGAACTGCCCATCTGTTGTGTATAAGATGCTTAATCCTGGAGATGGAGGCTGAGAACGACACAGCATCTGCTCTTGGATCGCGGGGATGACTGGCATGTGAACAAACAGCTACAGTGTGAAGTGTGCAGAAAAGCAGAAGCACGAGGACCAGAAGAGGCAGGGGGAGCACTGGCTTTTGGGCCTGTAGGTGTTCAGGGCCATTTTCAAGGTGGGGACAGTGGGTCAGAGCTCTGAAGCACGGCCATGTGAGCTGGATGCACCGGGGAGTGGAAATTCCGAGAGCAAGCTAGAAGTCCTGCAGAAACGTGAGTGCAGGAAATAACTCCATGGTTCAGTGCTGTGTAGAGTGAGTCCAGGCAGAGGAGAGGAAGAAACAACCATTATAAATAAATATAGAAATGAATATAGCTATAAGACCTTGGGTCATCCCTTGTATATGACAGAGTCAGCAAGCACTCTGGCATGGGAGGGCCCTGCTGGACAAGCATGCTGAGGGAAGAGGGAGGATGGGCTGGGAGGGGCCAGGCTAGAGGCAGAGAGCCTGGGGAAGTAGCTGTAACACTCAGGAAGGATGAAGATAGCTAGACTTGCCTAAGGTCTCAGAGGTGAGGTCACTAGGACCTAGAAGCTCTTGGGGCTGAGGGAGGGGCCCAGAGTGTTACCCTATTCTTTTTCACCTTCTGCAAGGCAGGCAGCACTATCCATTCAGAACCCTAAGACATATTCAGGAGATTGGCTTGGGGGGTGTGCCCTGTGACTCATCCACAGCACAGTTCAGTAGAGGCTGGGTGCTGAAGCCTGGCTCAGTGACAGTCACAGCCATGGATGCAGTCTTGACTGGGGGTGGGGTAGAGGTGGGGGACAGAAGACCTGGTTTCATTAGCTCCTCTCAAAAGACAGACTGGTGTGGAATGCTCCTTTAAATTGTGTGAATAGATGTCACTGTGATTGTTTAATAAAGACGCTGACTGACCAATAGCTAGACAGGGTAAAGTTTAGGCAGAAGAACCAGACTAAGAGAATGCTGGGAAGAAGGAGGAGGAGTCTTTTGAGTCGTGAGCCTGACTCAGAAGATGCAACATGGGAAGTTCATAGATGAGGTAAACGAGCCTTGGGGCAGAACATAGATTAATAGGAGTGAGTTATTTTAAGTTGTGAGAGCTGACTTGAGACAAGCCTGAGCTTTCGGCTGAGCATTTATAATTAGTATTAAGTCTCTGTGTGGTTATGTGGGGGAGTGGCTAGCAGGACAGAAAAGTCTGCCTACAGACTGGGCCCCCAGTTTGGACACATTATTAGAGGTACCCAGTCTACAAAGATACTGTATACACTTCCCTAAACCTGGGCTGGGGTCCTGGTGGCTCAAGTCTTCAGTCAGCCATTCAAGAAGCTTGTAGAAGACAGAGCCAGTCCTCAGAAGTTCCAGCCAGGCGATGAAGAGAGATGGTTACTGAACTCAGTGTCACAGACTGACTCAACCCAGGCTCTCCTGTAGTCTAGGCTGGCTTTGAGTTTGCAACGTAGCTGACAGTGACCTTCAACTCCTGATCTTTCACCTCCTGAGTGCTGGGATTGCAGGCATGTACTACATCTGGTTTATGCCATGCTGGAGAGGGAGCCCAGGGTAGTGAGCATGCTAATCTAGCCCTCTATCAGCTAAGCCACATCCCCAGCCCCTCAGTGCCTCATAAACTTGTGGCGCACACCTGAAACCCCAGAACTCAGGTGGTGCAGACACAACAGGTGACTCTGGCTCCATCTCTCATCTTTCCTCCACTTTCTCTCACTCCCTCACTCTGGAGACACAGCCAGCTTTTCTGGCTTGAAAGCAGATTCTCTCCTGCTCTGAGCTCTGAGTCCAAACTCCTTCAAAGCCCAAAGCTGTCTCCTGCAGGAAGTTCCCTGTCCACTATCTGGGGTGGCTCATGTCCTGCATCTCTACCTGGGATCAGGATCCTGGGGGCATCAGGGTCCTGGCATGGGTGACTGCACGGGAATCTGCCTCACGGGCTTCATGAGTGAGCAGTGTGCGCTCATTCATTCCCTTGCTGTACGTGCGGGCTTTGTAATTATAGTGTTAGGGAAGTCAGTGGCTGGAAGCAACTAGCTGTCTTCCCCTGCCAGCCCAGTGACTCACATGGGAGAAAAGGGACAAGGGAGAGCAGCCGGGCTGGGTGAGAGGCTGGGAGGGGCTGAGGGAAGATGCATGCTGTGGGGAGGGATGGGCGTACTGTGAGGATGGGGGAGGCTGTGGGAGTGTGGACAGCGAGACACTGTGCTCCCAGTCCAATAGTCCCATCACAGTGCTGGAGGAATCTGAGCAAGCACTCGGGTGACTCTGAGGCTGCGGGCTAGACTTTGCTTGAGTGCCTGATCCTCAAAGCTCCAGGTTTCTAAGCGCTGTGACCTGATTAAGCCTTTGCCTGTTGCTTAGGGTCCAGTATTGCCTTCTGTAAATCCTGCCTGCTCTCCCAGCCCACTTAGACAGAAATGGGGAGAACTTCTTGAGTGGGACTTTCCAGGGAGCAAGCACCCCAAGTTATTAACAGAGGATCCATGTGCCCCTAGTCTATAACATGCTGAGGGGCGGGGCCTCTGCCACTGGCAAGGAGAAAGCTTTTCTTTGGGATCCTTAGTAGCAGGTAGGGAGAGTCCATCACTGAGTTAGTTAATCAACAAACACAAGAGCAAGGTCAGAGTGGCAGAGTCCTCTTCTGCAAATGCGGGAGTGAGAGCAGGAGGTCAAGGATCTCCTCTGGGCCTTAGCACTTCCCCAGGGACAACTCAGTGCTCCCTGCACATGGGAACCCCACAGAGGAGGCAGGAGGGTGAGGGAAGGACTCCTCCAGACTACAGGTTTGGGGGTGGGTGTGTGGCAGAGGGTCAGGACGCACCGACACTCTGAGTGTAGTGGGCCAGCCATTGTCTAGCATGGGGCCAAAGTCAGGGTCCTCAAGGGAGTACTCCACGGAGAACGTCACTGGCTTCACGTAGTCGGCAGTGTCCTGTGGGGAGAGGAGGGCAGAGTTCAGCAAGGAGAGGGTACCATTTCCTGGGCCACAACTCTAGACAAAGAGCTCCCATCCCTCTCGGCTAAGAGGACAGCGGCCTGTGGCCCTCAGGAGAAGTCGCCAGGCGGACAATGGTTTCCGTCATGGTCTACAGGTGAGAAGTGAGTGCCAGGTGGAAAAGTGATGCCAGTTTGGTGTCCCAAAGTTTTTACCACACTCCTGCTCTTCCTTCAAAGCCTCGGCTCTCATAGCTCAGATACCTTGGTCCTTCAGGAAGCCTGGCAGGCCCCTCCCTCCTCCAGATTTGTTTCATCAGCTTCTCCCACAGCATCGAAGCGGCTTCACTGTTCTTTTCTCTTTGTTTTTGTTTTGCTATATAGCCCAGGCTGGCCCCGATACAGTCTTCCTGCCCCATCTCCTGAGTACTGGGATTACAGGCATGTTGCACTATGCTCAGCGAAAAGATCTACCTGTGTGCCTGACTCTCTTCCCTGGCAAGGACTAGTCTAGAAAGCTCTGAGTGTGGCCCGAGCATTGTGATACAGCCTCGTGATGTTGAATGGATAAGGGAACGGACGCGGATGAACATGCGAACAAGGCAAGGAGGTTCAGTTTGTCCTGACGATGGGTGACAGATGACCGGGGCACTCCAAGCTGCCTAAAAGCACCCATGTCCTAGAGCTGTGCTCATCACACTTGGTGTTTCTGTATGGAAGCAAACCTCTTTCTCATTCAGTGATGAGCACCAGGCCCCTGCCTCTCTTGGGATGCCACCGGTCACCAGGCCCATGCCTCTGCCCGCCTTATCTGATCTTCATCTCCAGCCCACCCTGCTGTTCTGACTTTCTAGCCTTGGGTGGTGGCCCACTCGTTCCCTCACCTTCTCGGATGAACTCACTTCCTCGATTTCATTCCTTCTAGACATGAACATCTGGGAAGGCGGGAATGTAGTATGGTGGGTGGTATAGTCATGAGGGCTTTTATCTGGGGCCTGAGGAAGGGTACCAGCCAAGGTTGGCCACACTGTTCTCTGGCTACCCACCAAGGGCTCGGAACTGGCCTGGCACCGTGGGACTTCCTACAGAAGTTCCTCTACTCTGTACCATTCTTGTAGGGCTGAGGGCCTGCTTGTGGGCTGCTGGGCTCACCAGGACATGGAAGTTGATCTTTTGGCAGTGTTCCTGGCCGGAGGAGAGTAAGACAGCCCTGTTGGTGAACTGGTCTCCACCCTCGTCCAGATGTGCCCGTGGCATGTATCGTCTCTCGTCCATGGTGGCATTGTACCTGATGCCTGGAAGAGAAAAAGACAAGACCAAGCTGGTGCTTCATCCCCACCCTAGATGGTTCACCTGCTTAGCCTCTGGCTGGCCTCATCCTTCACGGTCAGCTGGAAGCTTCCATATTGGGAGCAAATATGGTGAGGAGGAAGGAGCTGAAGAGGAGGAGGAAAAGATAGAGAACAGCAGGAGGGAGGAAGGGAGGGAGGGAGGCAGGGAGGGAAGGAAGGAGGGAAAAGTGAGCCTTGCAAAAAGGAGAGGGTTGGGCAGGCTAATGTTGCTCAGCACTGCTGACTGATGACCTCCTCAGTCCCTCCCTCTAACACCCTGTCTCACACCATGGCTCTGTGTCTTTAGGAGCTCCTCCTAGGGCTTTCTCATGCTGGAGGACTCCATGGGCCCATGTTTGTATTCTGTGGCTTGAGGCCCACAGACTTTCTCCTTTTAGCCTACAAAAATCTGACAGTCAGGACTGACACAGTGACTTCTGTCCCCTAGGTAGCTCTGTAGTGGCTGTATCCTTGAATCTTTGTCCTATCATAGATGGAACTTCCAAGAAAAGTGCCCAGCCACCAGGCCTGGATGTGTCCTCATCTCCCCCTTTCTTCTTTGTCTGGTTTTGTCCTCATCACTGGAAGGGACACTACCTGTGGTCTGCATTGTATCTGTCACTTCCAGGGCTGCAGGGTCCAGGAAACAGGTACCTGAATCTAATCTGAGGTAAAAGGAGAGGACCCTTCCCAGGCCCATGGCCCTGCTGAGAGGCAGTTGTGGCTCACATGCCCAGTCCCTGGTCCCTAACTCCCCAAGGCTGGCTTCAGGTTGGCTTCCCGAGTCTGCTTGACTTCTGGCCTCCTCTCTGTATTCTACTGCCTGCCTTTTATATCTGATTCAAAATACAACCAAGGGACATTCTTCTGTCCCCGGTTTTTCCCATCAGTTCTGCCCATACCACTCTTGCCCTGCCAGGAGTCCCTTGAAAGGAGAACCTTAGAGGAGAATCTAGCAGGCACTGAAGGTGCTCCGGGTGTGGCCTGGTACCTAGAACTCATTTCGGGAAAGGCCCAGACTGTGAACCAGAACAGTCACAAAGCCCACAGAGAAAGAGCTTGGCTAGTGGCCCAAGGAGGCTGGTTTACCGACGGTTGCTGTTTGGAAGTGGGGTGCCAGGAAGACAGGCACGAAGCAGAGGAAGGCAGCCAGACAGGTGGCGTCCCTGCCATTGCGCTTGCAGTCCTTGTGGAAGATGTTGATCTTGGGTGGCTCAAAGTGGAGACTGGCATTGATCTGAACCACGGGGCGGGCCCTGGAGAAGACAGACAGGTCAGCTAGAATGGGGCTGGAGTTCCGACTGCCTCGCCGGGACCCAAGGACAGAGGTACAGACCCGGATGCGAGTGGAGTCTGTAAAACCCCCTAGAGGGTGTGATGTGGTGGAAGGGGCAGAGAGACCTGACGAAGCTACAGGATTGATTGGCCAAAGAGAGAGGGCGGGTGGCTCAGCAGCTTTAGGGCTCCGGGACAGCCCATCCTCCTTTTCCTCCGGGTTGCTCTTGTTGAGGACTACTGGTTTCCCTTCACCCAGCAGGTCCAGCCCAACACACATTCAAATCAACTGGCGAGTGAGGGCCTGGGGAGATGGCTCAGGGCTTACGAGTGCTGGCTGCACTTTCAGAGGATACATGCTTGATTCCCAGCATCAACACATGTGGCAGCTCACAACCACGTGCATCTACAGTCCCCGGGGATCTGATACCTGCTTCTGGCCTGGGTGGGCACCAGCGTCCATATGGTGCACTGGCATACAGACAAAACATTTATTAAATATAAATGAAAAAGGAGAAAGAAAGGATTGTGAGCTGAACCGATCCAAGGCTGTCTCAGAGGCCCTTACGAAATGACAAAAGGAACCTAGCTCTGTGTACTGGCAAGGCCAGTCTGGGGCTGAGGCTGGAGCTTTGCTGTTACTAGGAATATGGCTTTTCCCCTGAAGAGACTGGAGTTATCAGTCCCAAGGCTGCTGTGTGCTGTAATGCTCTTGAGGTACCCTATGCTCTCTTGGGGCCACACTGCTTGATTAGCTTCCTGCTGATTGCATCCACTGTATGGTAGTTTCTGCTGACAATGCCCCATTTCTCCCCTGGAAATAGTATATAAAATACCATGCTTCTAAATAAGCTTGCTTGTCATAAGACATAAGCCTGTGAAGGGCCTCCTGATCCCAGACTTATCTGTCTCTTCGCCTTCTGGTTCCCTGGTCCTCTCTCTCAGGACCTATCACTGAAGAACGACCTATTGGCCCAGCTCAGGAAGGAATAGTGGAGAGAAACAAAGAAAAAAGAGGGGGGAGGAAACCCATGTCAGGAGCAGAGGATGTAGCTCATTTGGCACTGCGCTGGCCCAGCATGCATGAAGCTCTGGGTTTGATTCCCAGCGTCATAAACAAGGTGTGGTGGGATGGAGTCAGAAGGCTCAGAAATCCAAAGTCATCCCCGACTTCCCAGTGAGTCTACAAACCAACCAACAGACAAGAAATCCCACGCCAAGGCTGCACCCTGGGTTGCACTAAATGGAGACACGAGCTTGTCTTAAGACTGTCTCTCAAGTTCTAATCTGCATGTACCACTGCCTCCTGCAGACATCTTGTTGCAGCCCAGATCCGCTGCTGTCTGTTGGCACAGACTCTGCATGTCTAATGGGCTCTGGAGTGAGGCTGAGTGGCTGGTGCTTAGAGCACAAGTGAGGGGAAAGACTGGAAGTACAGTCAGACACTGAAGATGGCAGCGTTAAGATGACGGAAAGTTGGCGGACTTTTTTTTCTTCAATTTTTAAGTTAGTGCAGAAAACCCTAAAGGATAAAATTGATCTCGTCCATGCATATTTAAAAAACTCCAATCAGCCAGGAATGGTGGTATAATATCTTTAACCTCAGCAGAGACAGGTGGATCTCTGTGAGCTTGAGGCCAGCCTGATCTACGTGGAAAATTTCAGGCTAACCATGGCTACATTCTGAAAGTATCAGTACACGAGACAACGCATGGGCTTCTCTAAAACACTGATATGGAAACACACACACACACACACACACACACACACACAGAGAGAGAGAGAGAGAGAGAGAGAGAGAGAGAGAGAGAGAGAGAGAGGAAATAAAGTCAGAGGGATTGGAAGAAAGAAACCCCTATATTTCATGTCCTCTCTGTGCTGGAGGGGAGGAAAATGCTTTCTAGAGGAGGCTCAGTTCTCCCTCTGTGTAACCTGGGGGGCAGCAGAGGAAGAGATGCTGCAGGGGCCAGAGTGTAGGAAAAGCTCTGGGGGTGAGGGACAGATTTTGGATCTGAAAGTGGCCAAAAGTTCTAGAATTCTGTTGAGAATAGAGATCAGGACTTCAAGATCACACGAGATGGGAGAGGTTCAGGATTCATTTGGATGACAGTAGCTAAAACTAAGAGGCAAGGACCCAGAAGCAGATTTTGGAAACACTCTATTCTGGTACTCCTCAGGGAAGTCCTGTAGTTAGGGAAAACAGGAACTGACCACAAAACCACAGCGTTGCCCAGGGCGCCCACTGCTAGGTCCACAAGCCCATCCTCATTGAGGTCCAGTTGTCCGTGGATGCTGCAGCCGAAATGCTGCAAGCCAGGAGCCAGCTCTGAGGCTGCGATTCTCTGCAGGGAGAAGAGAGAAAGGGTGTGTGTACTGTGAGCCCCGGTTAGCTCTAGGGGAACAGACACAATTCTGAGCTCTGAGAACCTGGCAGCTGCCTTATCAGAGAAACCCCCGCCTTTAAAGTCACTGATTTAGATGAAAATATTATGTCTCAAAATAGTCCCTAACAAGTTTGGTGGCTCACACTTACAATCTCCATACTTGAGAGGTGGAAATAGGCTCATGAACTCAAGACCAGCATGGAATATATATATATCTCAAGACCTAGCCTCAAAGATTCAAGGACTGAAGGCATAATCGAGTGGTGGAGTGCTCACCTGGAAGGTACAAGGCCCTAAGTTTGATCCTGAGCACCACAAAAGATAAAATAAAGTACTTGGTGAATATCAGTGTAATAACCTGGAAGATAACAAATCCACTGGCATTTCTACCTTGCTGTATGTATTTGACTGTATTACTAACAAATTATGTCGGCAGATTCTCTTCACTCGATACAACTGTCTAGATCATTAGCCCACAACTGTAGTTATGTGCGCTGGGCTCTATCAACGGTCAGTCAGGGAAAGGGGAGGGGCTCACGGGAGCCCTACCCTTTACCCCTGACCCATTGTCTATTGATAGATTCTGGGAAAGAAGGACTCATTTTTTTTGTTGTTGTGTTCCTGCTATTGAACCACCAGGCTCCAACACATAGATCCCATGGTCACAAGATGGTGCTGGTAAGTCTTAGCTGAGGTTCCCAAAACAAAACAAATATATACATATGAGTGTAATAATTGTGTGTGTGTGTGTGTGTGTGTGTGTGTGTGTGTGTGTTGGGGGAAGATGGATAGAGGTTATAGGGAGGTGAGAACGGTCAGTATGCATGGTGCACATATGTGAAATTATGAATAGAATGGGTGGGCCAGAGTAGTAGCACGCACCTTTAACACCAGCCTGAGAGGCAGGGGTAGGTGAATCTCTGTGAGTTTGAGGTTAGCCAGGGCTACATAGGTCAACCTTCTTTAAAAAAAAAAAAAAGAAAAAGAAAAAGAGAGAAAGAAAAGTAAAAATGAGGTTTGGCGAGATGGCCTAGTAACAAGAGTACTTGTTGCTCTTACAGAGGACCTAGGTTTGATTCCCAGCACCCCATGTCTTGGCTCTAACTCCAGTTTCAGGGAATCAAACATATTCTTCTGACCTCCATGGGCACCAGGCATGCATGTACACATATATACCTTCGGGTACCACTCATACACGAAATAAATATTAAAAAAAACAACCCTGGCTACCCTTGCAGAGGACCTGGATTTTGTTCCTAGCACCCAAATGCCAGCTCATGGTGGACCAGAGGGTCCAGTGCTCTCTTCTGGCCTCCTTGGGCACTGTAAACACGTACATGCAGGCAAAACATCCATGCACATGAAATAAAAAACAATTCTTTTAAAAAAGAGAAAAAAAAAGAGTGGGTAAAATTCTGATGACTTTGAGGCTGAAGAAGGTCAGATTTGAGCTGGGCTGGGTCTGTTTGTGGTGAAAATGGAGCCCAGCCGGAAGTGTCCCAGTCACAGGGTTCCTGTTGGGGCAGCGATATTTGGTGCCTGGGATTTTTACTGGTCTGATGTCGAGAGGATAAAGTTGTATATGGGGATAGGATGGGGGACATTCTGAACATCACTGTACCATGCCAACCTCTCCACTAGAGATAGGCACAGCTAGGACAGATAGGATCCTTCCTGCAAGAGGGCATGCAAGGAAACTGAGCCGCAGGAATACGTGGGTGCAGCCCACATTTCCCACTCTCTGCTCTACCTAGTCTCCCCAAAGCCCCACCTGTATGGGCTTCTTCAGGATGCTGCTTTGGAAGCCGTGGAAGATATAGATGGCCCCTCTGTGACTGTCCTCTAGAGGGGCCCCCACCACCACATCATTGTAGGAGTCTTGGTTGAGGTCTTGAACTGAGGCAATGGAGGACCCAAACCGGGCATTCTGGTAGCTGTGGGAATCCTTCAGAGTGCCATTATAAACAAACCGGTTCTGCAAAATCAAGGCCGGGAAGAGGTTCAGGGAACTGGGCAGAGGCTCTGGGATCTTGACTCCCTTTGCCTGCACCAAGCGACTTCTCTTCATTCCATTCCCCAGGACCCCTCCCAGTGACAGGAGCCCAGGGCAGAGAAGCTCCTGTCCTTCCTAGCTGGCTCCTGCAGGCAGTAGCCGGCCTCCTGGGAACCTGGGTTCTCTCAAGGTTGACCAAGTCAGTGTAGGACTCTGATGCCCTGCTGAGTTGCCTGGCCCCTCCTGGCCACAGTACCTGTCTCAGGTTGTAGACATACACCTTGCCTCGCTCTCGGCCCTCGCTGAAGTACATGGGGGCGCCCACCAGCAAGACATCGGTCACTCTGTCGTCATTGATGTCCACTGAGGTGATCTCACTCCCAAAGTAGGAGCCTATCTGCGGCACATGGATGGGAGAAAGATCAAGCTGGGTCCCAAGGTCTCACACTGACAGCTCTGACCAGGAACCTGGGTCATCTTTTGACCTGGAATGTTTGGGGTCCTGGCAGGCCCTCCCTTCTCGTGCCCACCTTCCCCTTCTCTCCCCTGGGCAGACTTACCTGCTTTCAGGGTATCCTTGTTTCTTTCTCTATCTCAGTTGGCAGCTCATTCCCACCCTCCTGTATTTCCATTACTTAACTTTAACTATGGTTATTTATTCCTTGGGGCTGTTTATATATTATAATGACAAAAAGCAAAACTAATATAATGGCAAAAAAAGAAACTACATAAAAATTTTGAAGACAAAAACGAGTTACCCATAGTCTCAACATTGAGACACAGCCAGCATGAGGGTTTTGCTGTATTTCCCCCACTCTGTTCTATGGCCTTTACATTGCCAGTTGTTATATATAAAGAAGCCTTTCTTGTCACAATGAGACTGCTCTTCCTTTCTCCTGATTATGAGATATAACGATGTATCCAGAACCTTTCTTCAGGACATATTTTTTTTTCTCATAAAGGCTCCATTTAAAAACATTTATTCTTTGAGAATTTTCAGACATGTATATAATGAAACCCACCCAGTCCTATCCACTCTCCAGTTTGCCCCTTCAACTTCCCCCAGACCCCCCTTAGTCGTCTTCTCTCAACATTATTTCTTCTCCCTTTAAAAAACAACGGACGAAGTTCACTTAGCAGTGCCCACATGTGGCCACACCCCTAAAGAATGGACTCTCCTTCATTCTGCAGCTATCAATTGCTAATAGGTCATCAGTTAGGGGTGGGGCCTCATGAGCTTCTCCCCGATCTAGGCCTATGCAGGTAACCTTAGCTGCTGTGAACTCATGAGTGCAATAGTCAACAGTGACGGGTTGTTTTTTTGTGACTTGATTGCTGCTGATTCAGAGTTAGCTATGTCCGTCCCTTAATGGTTTAATCAAGCTACAATAGCTAGTTCATTTCCAAGTGTCATGGAGCATGCTGGCATTCCTACTGTTGATGGTGACTGGCACTTGCCTGTCTGAGGGCTCACTCTCTCTTTATCTCTGTCCTTCATTGAGTGTAGCAATCCCCATGTGAGGGGGGGCACCATTCACCATCCATTAGAGACTGAGGAGCCCCCCGTCTCTACTTCCACCTCTGCCATATGCAGCCTGGTATTGGACAGCATCTCATTGTTGCCTGACTGCTCCTCCTCTACGCTTGGCTCCCACCTCACCCTTATGATGGCCGCTTGTCCTCTAACCCCTGGCCATATACAGCCCGGTGTTTGGGATAAAGCCTACGTTCTTTAGCATGACCTTATAGGATCTGCCTCCCTTCCCAGTCTCTGCTCTGCTGCCTCTGGCTCCCAACACTGAGCCTCCTCCACCTGCCTCTTCCCTGCCGTGCATGAGTGATTTTTCTAAGCCCTACTTCCCTTTCACAAACTTTCCTCTTCCTTACATCATCTCCCGACTCCCCTGCCTCCTGCAGACAATCAGGCTTCGCTTCCTTTGAGAAAGTATCTCTGACCTCTCAACCCCACCATACGTGACAAGGTGCCTTCTCCCACCAGGGTCTGCTCCCTCCTTGGGAGCCTTTAGGGGGTAGGCCCTTGTAGGCTTGGGGATCATGTCTGGCACACAGGATAGGCTCAGTAAATGCTTAGAAGAGGGAACAGATCCTGCCTGTGGTAGGGCCCCAAGTGAGACACTAAAACCTTGGGTTAGCTTGTGGGTGCACCATGCTGTTAGGAGGACGTGTTAAACCCAGGCCCTGGTACATGCCAGGGAAGTGCTCTGCCGCTGAACTTACACCTCAGCCTTTCCTCTTTCTTTCTTTCTTTCTTTCTTTCTTTCTTTCTTTCTTTCTTTCTTTCTTTCTTTCTTTTTTTCTTTCCTTCCTTTCTTTCTTTCTTTCTTTCTTTCTTTCTTTCTTTCTCTCTTTCTTTTTCATTTTACATGGGTTACTTGAAACCCAGAGGGTTCCAGTTGCCTGGTCAGGGTCAGAAGCCTGGTGATTGCTGGGCCAAGCCACTCTGACACAGGAAGCCTAATGCTCCTTCTGCCATGACCTCCAGGCATAAAACTATATAGCTTTGGCTGTCCTGGAACTTGCTATGCAGACCAGGCTGGTCTTGAACTCACAGAGATCTGATCTGCCTGCCTCAGCCTCCCAAATGCTGGAACTAAAGGAGTGCACCATCATTCTTGGCTCAGTAGCCTGTTCTTAAGTCTAAAGACTTTACATGGGCTAGGGATGTGGCTCAGTTGGTAGAGTGCTTGGCTAGGACGCTGCAGCCCTAGGGCTGAGCCTCAGCACCACATAAACCAGAGGTGGTGCTGCTTGCCTATAATCCTAACACGGTAGGTGGCGGCAGGAGGATTGGGAATTCAAGGCAATCCTCAGCAGTATAGTGAGTTTAAGGTCTTCCTGGGCTACATTAGACCCTGTCTCAAAACAAAACTAAAAAATGGTTACGAAGGAAGATAAATATACAGACAGAAGAAAAAGACAAGAGCCTGAGCCGGGTGGGGAAGCGAGAGAGGTGTCAACATAAAGTAATTATAAGGCAGACAGGAAAAGTCAACTAAATCTGTGGTTTCAGCTGTGTGGGTCACAGTGATCTGTCTTCAGCACTGTGAGTTCTTGTTTTGGTGCTGATCAGGGAATAGTCTTGAGTTATCAGCATATTCCCTGTAGTTCCCAGGCCTAGCCTTTCCCTTCCAGAAGGCGCTAGCCTTGAGTGGGCTGAATCATGGGGTGAGGGGGTGGAGTGGGCTGGAGCGGGCTGGAGCAGGGTGGAGCAGGTGGAGCTGGGTGGAGCTGGATGGAGCGGGCTGGATCGTGGTGGGGCAGGGTGGAGAGGGCTGGTGTGGGAGGGAGTGAGATGGGGTAGAGTTTGCCAGTCTGAAACATGAGGTGCATACCAGTGAGCCATTGGCCTAGAAAAGGAGTCAGAGAATTGTGACCCTCTGTAGCCTGCACTCAGGTTGATAGGAGAGGCGTGTGTCCTGATGATAGGACAGGGCAGGGGAAGCTGTAGGATGGAGCTGTTCTCAGACTCCAAGTAATGAGAGAAGGCAGGCCAGGGCTTGGGTGGGGCTTAGCTGGGGTTCAGGGTACCAGAGGATGCTGTCAGTCAGGAGATGTCAAGGCCTGGTCTAGGTCGGGGCTGTTGGGAGTCAAGAGGTGATGTCAGCAAGAGCCTGAGTTCTTAGCATGACCTGGTCAGGAACCTGCTGGATGATCCTGGAGAAGCTGTGTCGCTTCCTTGGCTGCTGCCGTGATTCATTTTGTTCCTGCCACCAGTGCTTGCTCACCAGAGCTTTCTAATTGGTGTTCTAACCATCTGACACAGCCTGTCACACAGTCTGGTTGTCAGCCACATCCCAAGAGGGACAGTGGCATTAGCAGTGAGCTTTACTTCCAGGAAAAAGGAAGAAACTGCTGTCCCTGTGGTTCTTGTGTGTGTGTGTGGGCGGTGAATGACATAACTGTTTGGTCAGAAGCGTCACCTCAGCGCCTTGGCACCCCTTTATACAAAGAGTCTGGATTGTTTAGTTGGGGAGGGGGTTCACCCTAGCCCCCTGGCATTCATATTTGGAATGTTGGGCAAAAAATTTCATTTCTGCTCCCTCCCTTGGGAGTTGCCTCAGTCCAAACGCCACCTCCGAGAAAGCCCGCCAAATGGTGATCCCTTCCTAGGGAGGGTCAAGACCACTCCCACAGGTTATTTAAACTGCCCCCTAGAGAAGGAACACATGGTCTCCCCTTTTCCCTCTCCAGAGGTTGTTCAGGTTCTCCTTTCCCCCTCTGTGTTTTCCCGGGGGGCCACCCAGGAGCACTGGCAGCCATTAAACCTGGGCATTTAATTCGGACTGATTTGGTCTGATTGGGATTATTGCGCCGGCAGAGAGGTTTGTGGGTCGGAAAATACTTAAAAATAACAAGACAGCTCAAGGAGTGTGGCTGTCCTTTCAAAATACCCCAGGGCTAGGAGAAGCCCAGGCCAGGTAGCTAGACACTGATGCTGCACGGAGCGGCTACTCCTGAGCACACCAGGCAGGGTAGCAGCAGAGGTCACCCGGCACTCTAGAGGCAAGAAGTCCAGAAGACGGAGGGAAGAAGTTGCCCCAGGCTCTCATTAGGAGCCAACCGGACTTTGAGGGGAGCGGAACAGTGCAGGTTCTATGGCTGTTTAGGGGGTAACTTTTTGCAGGTGCCTTCAATCAGAGAGAAGTGGACCTGTGCCCCCAACACAGGGGGATACTTGTGGGTGTGGGACCTTCTTGTTGAGAGAGAGGAGCCCTGTTACTCACTCTGCCTAGGTCGGACCCTAACCCTTGCCCGGAGCCTGTCCCATGTTCTCCATTACCTGCTCGCCCCGAAGAGCCTGGTGGATGGTGAGGCTGCGGTTGTTGTGCATAGTGAACAGAATGACCTTGCCTGTGTGGTTGAACCTGGGAGCTCCAGCCACGTACACCCGTCCCTGCTTGGAGGACACGACCGATGTCACTGTGTAGCCTGCCAGAGGAAGAAACAGACTGGTCTCTGATGCTGTGTGCTCAGTACAGCTTGCCGGGTTTTGGCATGGGGTGCAACCAGGCATGAGGAGGAATTGTGAGTCCTGTTTCCCTTGAGCGCATGAACTAATGAAAAGAGCCTGAAGGTGTCGCTCAGTGGAGAGCGTACGATTGGCCTATGCCAGGTCCCGTGCTTGATTCACAGCCCCCACACCAAACAGAATTATTTAAGAAAAAGGAGAATGGCTGTTGACAAGACGCTTTGTCCTAGAGGAGGCTGGCCCAGTGTGACGTAGCTCCAGTCCAGACCTAAAGCTTTAAGGACCCTGACAACTGACCGAAAGTTTAGAAGCTTCCATGGAAGCCTACTTATACTGTGGGGAACTTGCTGTCATTTATTCTATATGGTCAGATGCTGGCATGGGGTGTGGGATGTAGCTAGAGAGAAACCAGCCTTGTAGCTAGAATTGCCAATAGGTACAGATGGGCCTCTCAATCTGGAGCCCACCTTACCCTCTGTCTTCAGCCACCCTCCCATGGGCCTCACCTAGGTATGCGGCATGGTTCTTCAGCTCCTCTGGGAACTCCTTAAGGTAGGACTCCCGGTGGGGAATCACCTTGCCCGCACTTGTCTCCTTCAGTACGGCCCCGTTCCAGTCGTAGGCTCCCACGGCTCCCAGTAGGATCCCGTCCTGGCACCAGGGAAGAATGTGGCATCAGACCCTGTTCCTAGGGACCTCTTGCTGAGAGCACCCAGGTCTTGCAAACTCTGAGGCACCATAGTCACCAGGGGGTAACTTTGCCAGGGGTGGTGACAAAGAAACTCAGCTTCCAACTGGGGCTCTTGACTTATAATCAAGCCTCAGAGACCATGGTGCCCTGAGCACAAGATGGCTCAAGCTGATCTCAAGAGTGTGAATTTAAAAACAGATAAAGGAACATTCTAGAAATAAACGCTGAACCCAGGACAAACCTTCCACATTTCCTTGGACTTTTTAAACCACTCAGCTTCCTTGTTACCTACCCAGCCCAACACTCCTTCAAGTCCTGCTGCCCACAGGTGACTGCCTGCCTTTGGAGCAAATGAGCAAAGGCTCCAAGGCAGAGAGAAGACAGCTTTGCTTTCTAGGAACAGTGAATTGTAGAGCGGAAGCAGAGTGGGTGAGACAGGTTGGGCAGACGATGCAGGGCCATGGAGCTTGTTTCTTCACCGACTTGGAGGGTGTCTCTTGCCCTACCCACTACTGCAAGACAAGTGCATGCTGCATGCCTGGGTATGAAGGCAGGAGGTGTCATTTCCTGTGGACCCTCTCCACCCCTAGTGTGAACAAACCACATGACTTGTGGGCATAGGAAGGCAAACTGCAAGCCCTGAAGGAGGAGGAATGGTACTTGGACGGCAGTACAGTAAGAAGGTGGTGAGAATAGTAGCCCTGGCCCCCAGATTCAGGGGAGGGGCGGCTACCCTGTATCTTAGCTTTGAGCTTTAATTTTCTTTTACAAAAAGGGTTTTTGTTTTGTTTTGTTTAAGGGGATGAGAAGATGTCTCAGTCAGTGAAGTGCTTGGGGTTCAGTCCTTAGGACTCATGGGAAAAGCAGCTGAGCAGGGCAGCATGTGTCATAGACTCAGTGCTGGACAGGCAGAAGCAGGTGGTCCTGGCTTGCTGGTCAGCCTATTTGGTGAGCTTCAGGCTAGTGGCGGATTCCTACTCAAAACAAACAAACAAAGTAAAAAAAAAAAAAAAAACCCGTGGAAACCGGGAGTTGTTTCCTGGTTTCAATGTACCTGGGATGTGGCTCAGTGGTAGAGTGGTTGCCAGGCATGGGCAAAGCCCTGGGTTCCATTCTCCACACCATATAAACTGGGCATGATGGTGTGTACACCTATAATCTCAGCACTCGGGTGGTGGAAGTAGAGGGATCAAAATCAAAGTTATGTTTGGCTACATAGTGACTTTGAGGCTAGCCTAGGCTTTATGAGATCCTTACTCATTTTGTGTGTGTGTGTGTGTGTGTGTGTGTGTGTGTGTGTGTGTGCTAGGATAGAACACAGGGTCTTATCTGTGCGAGCCAAGCACTCTGCCAGCAGCAGCTTTGGCCTTTTACAGTTTCGGCAGGTAAAGTCACAGCACCTCTATCCCCCCACCCCCCACCCCAGCCCTCCATGAGCCCATCTGGCTGGTTCTAGCTGGCTTCAAAGATCTCCTGCCATTTTAAAGAGGCAAGTTGATCTTATCCAACAGTTGAAAAGGCCAGTTCTCTGGAGGGAGAACTTCCCCTGTGGAATGTTTTTGCAACTATAAATAAGCTGTCTTCGGGAGTGTCTGGTGCTCTGTCATGTTCAAAGCCCAATGTTCTAATTAGCTCCCTGCTCCACTCAGCTGGGAAGCACTGACAGTGGGCTGGGCCAAGACTGAGGTCCGGAACCCAAATTCCTGTTGTCCACGGTCACTGCCAACATTCCTCAATTTTGGAGTATGCTCCTTCTTGGTGGGGCACTTTCTCATCCAATCCTCTCCCGTGGGAGCCCACAGGGGCCCTGGGAGGGGGCAGACTCCTTATCTGCACTTGGGTTCGAAGAGAGGCAGAAGCATTCCCAAAGTCGCACAACAAGTCTGGGTGGGGCTGGGTCTTCGGCCAGAGGGTAGGTGGGGCAGTAAGAAAAGCCCCCGCCGGTTTTCCCAAGCCCCATGTGGCTCCTGCTTCCGGTTTTCTTCCTGAGCCCCTCCAGGGGGTGGGCCACCCTTTCTTCCTGTCTGTTTGCTGAGTCCAAGTTTGTGACTGCATGCTAGACTTCTTGATGTCTGGAGAGGGTTTTGAAGAGGTGTTGTGGCCTTGTTGACAACAGGGACCTCTGGTGTGCTGAGAAAGGCCAGCTATACCCAGGTGCCTGGCCCTGCTGGGAGGGCCTTTTCCATCCTCCCTGTGTAGGGTTTGAGAACTGCCCTGGACTTCAGGAGCGAGAGGCATCTCATCTCACCTATGCCATTGTATCTTGGCCACAGATAGACCTTGGGTCCCCAAAATGGATTTGTTGGGGACAGGCGTACTAGGAAGTGTGTTCATGAAGGCCAACAAAACAAATCTCCCAGGTCACAGTCTTCCCAGCTGAGGGCCCCAGACATCCAAAATCTGGGGGAAAAAGTCTAGAATATCCTGGGAAGAAGGCCAGAATTTTGGTGGGGGATGCCAGGCATGTGGCCCAGCTGGGAAATGGCGTGAATCATCTGGGAAAGACTGGCATCTGGCATCCACTGTTTCCGTATGGGCCTGTCTGGATTCCCTGACTTATGGCCTTCAGGCCACCCTAGATTTATGGGGCCACTGAGCTTCCATGACACAGACCCAGGGTATCTCTACCTGGGTGGCCTTCACTGCAGGGACAGTCGTGTGTTGCTCGCCCCACCTCTCCCCCCACCCCCGCCGCCGCCATGACACCTGGCCGTATCTGCAGATATCCTTGGCCATCTCAGTTCAGGGTGGTGGCAGAGTGTTCCTGCAGAGGGTCAAAGTGGTGCTCCTCCCACGGAAGAGTTTTCTGGGGCCTCCCATAAGTGGGCGTCAACTGTTTATAATTTTCTCCTAGGCCTTGGAGCTCTAGACTTGGTTTCCTGGGAGGCAGCGATAGCGCCCCTCATCCCGCTGTCGAAGCCGAGGCCTGCTGTTTTGGTAGCTTGTGGGCTGATTTTGGGTAGCAAGCCTCATTGCTGATTCCTTTTGGTATTTCAGCTGCATCATAATCAATGCTCTCTGCTCTTCAAGAAGTTGTAAGTTCTTGCTGTGTTCGGTTCCCCCCTCTGCCCTTTCTGTGTGGCGGGCGCATGCGTGTGAATAAGCAGGAGGGCATGCCCATGCCAATGCCTGTGCCTTTGGAGTCCAGAGCGGAATATCAGATGTCTTCCTCTGTCACTGCTGACATTTCTGCCTTGAGACAGCGGTCTCTCACTGAACTGGAAGCCTATCAGTTGGCTAGGAACACTGGCCAGTGAGCTCTCGTGATCCACCCATCTTTCACTTCCAATTCTAGAATTATGGGTATATGCAGCCCTGCTGGGTATTTAAAATCAGATCCTCAATCTTGCCCTGTCCCCAGAGACAGTACAGTAGGGATAGTACTGAGCAGGGATTGGCTGCCTGACTTCATGTAAATGTAAGCTCCTGCCTCCTGGTGGCCCAGCTCTACCTCTGCTCCTCCTGAATCCCAGCAATAAGAAGGCACTTAAAAGACCAGTGGACCCAGCCACCTAAATCAGGATGACTGTCACCACTTGCAGACCTCACAGGGCTCTTTTGAGTATGAAATGAGGGCAGAGACCCCTGGGGAAAGTTTACAGGGCTGTGCACCTGGCCAGAGGCTGCGGGGATGGTGGAAAATCCACGATCGCATCTTGCTGTATTCACCTCAGTGGACTTGATACTGTACAGATGGGGCCTGGCAAAAATCTGTGCACATGCCACATTTCCAAACATCTGTCTACTGCTTGGCATGTATGAGCCCCTCTCTCCAATCTGGGATCTCTTACTCAGAGCTCCTGGGAGCCCCTCTTGGAGCAGCTGCCGACTGCAGAGGGAAGAGCTCACGCAGTCCTGGCTCACGTCACTTTAACCCCAGCTTGCCTAACCTCGTGAATCCATTCTTTACCTGCAGGAGGGAATCAGGAATCCTGCCGTGCCCACATCCCAGAAGGGTTTGGAGGATGGGAGGGGGACGACAGAGGGATGTGTAATTATTGTGAGCCTGCAGACCTTTCCTGAACACGGAGTGTACACACACACACACACACACACACACACATGCACGCACAACCAAGACACCTGTTGTCTGAAGCACACATACCTGGAGGAGGAGCATGCACTGGTATACTCTCGGAGCTGACATGCTTCCCACATGGAGCCCCCAGGACGTAAAATGTTTCCCAAAACACTGACTTTGTCCCTCCATGAGGGTCCAGACTCCCTTAGGTTAAGCTTTAGGTGAACATGGCCCCTGACACCATGCGTTATTAGTGACACCTGCAGTCTGTCCTTCATGGGCAAGGCACACCTGGGGCTGTTGCAGTCCAATGCAGAGTCTGAACAGAGACTGGTTTTGCAGCCTCCTGATGGAGCTGGGACCTATAGACACCTTCCCAACATGGGTACAGGCCCTACCCCAGCTTGCACAGGTCACCTCAGACTCTGATGCTATCAGGTACTTGCTGTCTGGTTTTGTCATTTGACCTGATTGTGTGGGTTTCTATGGACTGAATGAGACTTTAGGCCCTGTGAGAAATCCCCCCCGCCGCCCCATCCACTCTGCTTCTTTCCTCTCTTTCTCTCTGTGTGTAACATGTGCAGTGAGCTGGCTTCTGAAGCAGGCAGAAGACACTAGAAATAAGTTGAAGACCTTAACTTCCCCATTCCAGTCTTTAGAAGAGGCAAAGAGACACTGAAAAAGATATGGGAGAGCCATAAAAGGTGGGACAGCAGACAGACCTGGATGAGTAAGGAAAGAGAGAGGGAGGAGGGAGGGAGGGGGAGGGTCCTGTACCTCTACCACATGCGAGGAAAAGCCTGTCTGTGACATCTCCAGTCCAAAAGAGGTTTCATTCTTGTTGGTGCCTAAAACAACAACGAGAAGATGTTAGCTCTGTGCATCACCGGTTAGTCCTTGGGTCCTGTGTCCTGGGGCATCATGGGAACTAGGGTTCTTTTCTGCCTGATCCTGAGGTGACACCTGTACTACCTCATCATCACCCTGTTTTTGGGTATTAATAATGACTATCAAAGTGCATGCACCCGTACGTGTGTGTGTGTGTGTGTGTGTGTGTGTGCAAGCCTGTGCACACTTGCAGAGTCACTCAGTTCTGCAAAGAGCCTGGGATAAACCATGCTGCAGACATGTGCAATGACTGTTAAAGTGTGCATGTAGTCGAGGGGGCGGGGCATCAAATGAAAACATGTGAAATTCATATACGTTTTGGGAAAGAAGTGCTATTCCTTCTGCTCACTCCCATTGGTCACAGAATTTGGTTTCTGGTCTCTAAACATTAATGGAGGCTTGCCGCCTCTGTGGACCCACATAAGAAAGGCCATGTGTGCTGAAAGCAGCCCTTGAACGAGCCATCCGAACCACATTCTCACCACCGAAGGTGATCTTTCGCTGGGGAGTCCCTTGGTTTGACTCTGTGAGTCCAGGGCTGTGTCAGAGCCCAAGTCCAAGCGTGGGAGAGCCACGGTGGTCTCTTTGCACATATCTGTTCAGTGTCATTTCAACACATTGCTGACTTCTCCAGCTCTGGGATACTCTTTGTCTCTTATCTCTCTTCTCCCCTCCCACCTAGATGCCGAGATCCCCACGTGAGAACAGCCCACCACAGACAGACACAGCGAGAATGGGATCTCTGCAGATGGGATTCTTTGCAGAGCTTTCCCCCACGTGCCACTCTACTGGGGAATTAAACCATGTTCTTGTTTCTTGAAATGGTTTGTTATAACCCAGGCTCACTGTGTAGCTGAGGGTGATCTGATTCTGTGTCTCCCGCCACCACCTCCTGAGTACTGAGGTTGCAGCCAAGCACCCTGTGCCTGGTTTTATGTAGTCCTGGAGATTGAAGCCAGGGCTTCATGCATGCTAGGTAAGTGCTCTCCCAACTGAGATAAATTCCCAGCCTCAAACTACAGCTTTGATTTTCACAAAGGTGGTAGAGTGAGGACCAGTAGGTTCTGTGAGAACATGCAGGACCTATGTCAGGAAATGGAGCAAGGTCTGTTGGGTTCAACTTAGGAAAACAATATATATGTAT